GCTTTTTTTTGGCCAAAACGGAATAAAATTGATCCACTATTTAAAATTTTTACGAATAATGCATATTTGGTTCATAAACTTCTCGCTCCGCTTGTGCAAAATGACATTGGTGTCCAGAGAAGTGTATAAATCGCTAAATAAGGAATATAAACAAAAATTCAACAAACCAAAAAGGCTGCTTTTGATGGCTTTATCGAAAAATCAACCAATAAAAACAAAGATGTCTGGAAAATCGTTAACTATGAAAGAAATTGTCTTGGGAGATGTGATAAAGAATCTGATTTATCAGCAAACGATCTTAAAAGTTTTTTTAGTTCTGTCTCGAGTAATATTATAAAGATCTTAACGGTGAATCACAATATACAGAGTGCATGTGTTGAAGGGATTCCACTGGAGGAAACTACTTTTTTTTTGCATCCGATAACTTTTGAGGATACGTACCGAGCCATGCTAAGATTAAAAAAATCTTATTCTAGCGATGCTTATGATATCAATAGTGTCTTGGTGAAGGGACTGGTTGAGTACATTACACTGCCATTAACCATTTTATTTAATAAATGTATTGACACAGGTGTATTTCCGTCGCTGTTTAAGATTTCGAGAGTAGTTCCAATCCATAAGGCAGGTGATATAAATGATGCTAACAACTACAGGCCGGTTTCAATCGTGTCTTTGTTCTGAAAAGTTTTTGAGATCTTACTAAAAGATCAGCTAACTTCTTATATTAATAAGATCGAATGTCTTTGTGCTGGTCGGTTTGGATTTAGGGGAGGGTGTTCGACGATCCAAGCAGTGTCTAAAGTTGTGAGTGGGATAGTTGAGGGCCTCGAGGGGGGTGAATTAGTTGGTTTGACCTTGAGTGATCTCTCCAGGGCCTTCGACTGTGTTTCTCACCAGCTCCTTATTAAAAAGGTATACAGATATGGTATACGAGGTCTGCCCTTAGATCTTATAGCGTCCTACTTGCAGGGCCGACAGCAGTTTGTAGAATACCAGGATGACCGTTCATCACTTGAATCAGTAGTAAGCGGGGTGCCCCAGGGTTCCGTCCTGGGCCCGCTACTATTTACAATCTACATAAATGACCTTTATCATTTCTTGGCCCCCAATCAGTGCGTGATGTTTGCCGACGTTACATCCTTCACTACATCTGCTAAGAGTATCGAGGAGTTGTCCGTTAGGGTTGGCATGTTGCAGGACAGGGTTAATGTCTGGTTCGAAAATAATTATCTTAAATTAAATTTAGACAACACCCAGAGTATTGTGTTTTCCTCCAATTGCTTGGTAAATAGTGGACAGTCCGTCAAGTTGCTTGGCATTAGGATCGATGATAGTCTAAATTGGAAACAACATATCTCAGACCTGAAAAATAGATTGTCCAGCAACATATCCGTTCTTCGACGACTGAGAGGCCTGATAGGAACAAGGACTCTGCTTATGGTCTATTTTTCTTTGTTGCATTCACACTTATGCTATGGCACGGTACTGTGGGGTGATTCCTCAGCTGCTGTGGAGATTTTTAGAATGCAGAAAAGGACCATTCGAGTCGTTGCTCATATAGGATATAGGGACCATTGTCAACCTTATTTTAAAAAATTCAAAGTGATGCCCCTTCCTTGCATCTATATCTACTACCAGTTATTAGAGATACAGAGAACGAAAGGAAACTTTAGCGCTAATTCTGATTGCCATGCCTATTCAACTCGTTCGGGGGATCTCCTTAGACGGCCTAGGTTTAGACTGAGGAAGTCTGAGAACAACTCATTGAACCTGAAATTGTATAATGTTTTGCCAGGTACCGTGAAAAAGATGAGCAATAGAAAATTTAAACATACTATTAAAGAATTCCTGCAACGTCATTGTTTTTACTCCCTGCGAGCATGCATTGACACTGTCACTGGTATCGATGCGCTATAAAACTGTATAGTACTGTCTAATTTTGTTTGTATTAGATGTGTGTTTTTATGTTATTTATTAATTTGATTTTATTGTACTTAAATATCATTTCTGACTTGCTACAATTGTACGTCCCTTTTGTACGAAACGTAGTCAATAAATGAATCTATCTATCTATATATCAGCTGTTGGGTTAGTGCAGTATTCGTTTTTTTTTTTATATAAAATTGAAATTGAATTGATATTTTGTACAAGACATGCTAAAATGGTTTGCTTCTATTGAGGAATAAATATATTTTTTCTAGAAACTTCAAAAATCGACAAAGTCTGTGCATTGATATTAATGTGCTGTTTGGTGCTTTATCAATTACAAATTAAGATATCATCTATCTAAATATATTAGAATGTGAATGAGGACCGATGTATTTCGACAAGAGAATAAGCTTGGATGAGGAATCATAAAAAATTTAGTTAAAACCACTGAAAATAAAAACAATGATTTATGGAAAGGCAGCCAAGTATATTCCTCATTCCTGGTCCTCAAGCGCAGCAAGAAACAATACCTACTGTATAATTTATAATTTTCCGACATAACAGTTACCGAACTAGGAAACATCCTCAGAAAAAGATCAGCAATCAGAGTGCCACTTGTCCGGCAAATCAAGTACATTATCGCAGCAAAAGCAGTTTAGATAAAACCAGAAAAAGCGTTTCAAAATTAAATTTTCGATTCATTGCAAACGAAAGATTTATAAATGTGTTAGGTACAGTGTTGGGCTGGTCAATTGATCGCTTTTTAATTGACTAGCCAAATTCGATCATAATATTTTAAATAACAGCTTGCAACTGTAAGGTGTTAATTGTAATTATTTAATAATAATATCTACTTTATTTTAAATTAATATGCGTTTGTGTAGTTCAATTTACCTATAACCCTCTTCAAAAAAAAACGATTCGAGTCCTCAGAGTCCTCAGAACGACGCGACGACATAATATAAATAAATATAAATTAATAAATATCAATTCCAGTGCATTTTTTAATTTAATTAGGTCAATTGACTGGTTAGTTGTTAATTGACACAAAAAAATTGAGCTATTAATTCCACTACCCTAGGTAATATACATAATATTGTGAAAATCTAGATGGAGATAACATTTGATAAGGGATGTAAACGAATAAACTTTTGAACCAGGATTTCTAGACAAATATTTAAAAGGAAAACGTTGGTTTTGTGGCTTTGCAAATGAAAAAATGTAAATTAAAACTATATATGTAACATATTTAATTTTTATTCCAATTTAAACCTTTATATCTGTCAAAAAAATGGCTGACGTATTTACGCAGACACACAATTTTTCGGAATTGCTCAAATAATCAAAACTAAGCTTGTATAACATGAACCGTCGACATCGTCATGACGAAAGTTGCTCCCCCGGTAGGTCATGAAATAACAATAACAACAGAATTGAATTATTTGATTGCCTCGCGCTTTATTGTTCGATGGGAGCGTGTTGCGTGATAGGTTACTATTATCCGTCTCGAATATTCTAAGAAAATGGCGTTCCTTGTAGGAAATTATTTCAAGCCAACGGATGGCCTTTTACTTAGACGGGTTAAAAAAATAAATAAGGCTCTCTATCGCCGGTTAGATCTAAGTTAATACCCATTTAAAAATAAAATAATTTTTAGTTGGCCAATAATTTATTCATTTCAATGGCGTGCAACTACTTTTCCTTCCCGCACCGCAGTCGCATTCAACGACGGTCCAGATTTTTTTTTACACCAGCCATGAAAACTTCCAGTTCATGATTACACATTGGGGTGCATTCCTAAACGATACATTGTATGATATTTGATCTATAAGATTGATTAATGCCTAATGCATTTAAAACTTCTAGATACTCACGTTTTTGATCCCTTGACCATGTGTCATTTGGTGTGTTACGAATTCAAAAAGTCCGCCCGTTGTATCTTGGTGAGAGCGGACGAATCGTACTTGAATGTTTTGACAGCTAAGCCACAAAGCACTTGCGACCAAAACAGTTTTCTTTCATTCTTCTTCTTTTATTAGACGGAGTTGTTGTTCTATACGTTTCGGAATAATATATACTTAGACCTTGTCTATTTTGTTATATTTTACGCTTAATATGGACAAAACTAATAGGCTAAACACAGTTCATTTGGGAAGGATTGACGCGATTTCTGGTCATATGACCAGATAACTAAAACGCCATCCCTAAGATTTTAGATGGAACTTGTCGACGAAAGGTGTCAAAGTGGATTCTGGAGATTTTGCTAAAGAATGGGCTGGGCACCCATGGTGCTAGCAGTAGATCGTAGAGGTAGCGTTGTTTTGTGCTTTTCAGGAAGACGGAGTCTATGAATTTTAGAGGAGTGACCGCCTTTTGATCGACACTCTTTGATGGCAGGTTCTATAGAACTGAGTTGGCGATAAAAGTAGTCGGTAGAATTTATGTCATATTAAAGCATTTAAAGCAAGAAACTCTGATGTTTGGTATGGGAGGTATAGTTGTTCAAAGAAAAACGTTTCCGAAGCGAATCTCATTTTTAGTTTGGGAAAAATTATGTATATGTCTTACGTTCCTAAATATCTTTCGATATAGAACGTATAATAAGGTTACAGAGAAAATCAAATTTATATATATATATATATATATATATATATATATATATATATATATATATATATATATATATATATATATATATATATATATATATATATGATGACACTATATTCCGGGATATCATCCGTTCGCTTGTGGAATTCCGACTGGAATCCAGCATTCGACTGGAATCCTGCATTCGACTGGAATCCTGCACGCGGAGTTCAACAAGCGAACGGATGATATCCCGGAGTATAGTGTCATCACATTTTTCCGTCCGTGAATCAATACGTGAGAATATATATATATATATATATATATATATATATATATATATATATATATATATATATATATATATATATATATATATATATATATATATATATATATATATATATATAAATAATTATTAAAAATAATAGAATTCCTTCGTAACTATACTTTATTATCTTAATTTTTAATATTTACAGAGATGGATTTTTACAGAAAGTTGTGAAATATATCTGATTTACAAAAATATCGAAAACGTCTTTGTAAAAAAAACAATTCGGTAGACAATGCTGGTAAACGAATCAACTTTTCACTACTTATCTTACGAAACTTATTGAAAGAATAGAAAAGAACTAAATTCAGACCCCAAGTTCGTGCAACGAAGGATAAGTAGTAAAAACTATATAACAAGAGGTATCTACAGGATATAAGTTACATTTATAAATATATTTGTTACAATCATTACGCCTAATAACTCTATGGTGTCTTTCCCGCTTCAGATCGATGTCCGGTTAATTACTTCTATGGTAAACTAAGATTCGTTATAAAATCGTATCGATAACCGCCGGACGCTAAATCTGAAGATGGAATCGCACGGTTATAAAGAAGAAATATATTATTTACACGTTTTCATTGGACGTAGAACTTTCACTTCACCTATTAACAGGGTTCCGTAGCCTATAGCACCAGAAATTAAAAGTCCGGTTTGAACGTTATTTTTACCGCTTCCAATTGTCACTCGCTTTTTCAATATATCGATTTAGTTTTTTTTTTTTTGATTAATGGGATACAAAGTTGACATAAAATTTGCACGTCAAAACAACAAACGACTAGTTGGACAGTGAATCGTTCCGAGGAAACAAAATTTTCGATTCGTTTTCGATTTTTGATTAACATCCCGCCGAAACACGGCATAAAATCGAATACCGCTTCTGTATTATCGCATATTTTGGAACGCACGTGGAAGGAATCAGCTGCTGCACGAGAAGACGCACAAAAGGGCCATTATGGAGACTGCAGGGGCGAGGTATGAACCTCTGCTGGTTTGCATGGCGGCTGGGTGCTCTCCTGAAATAAAAAATAAATTTAAACCGATCAAATACTACAATACTGTTTCACTTACGACATAGCTCTAAAATATCTAAATTCGAATGGCGACAGAGTAATTTCAAATCAGATAAAGAAAATGCAACAGAAATCATTCACGCAGGAAATAAATCAAGATACTATCGCCAACTTAAATATATCCAACTTTATCTACGGAACGCAACTCTAAACCTGCTGTTAAAGTTAGAACTCGCGAAAAAGTCTGCTACCCCTCACTATTCTCAAATTCCTCATCCATACGGACTCACTAAGAATTACGCATCTAGGATTGTTAGTCCAATTGATTCTCCAACCTATTCTCTAGCAAAATATCATGATTCTATAGTTTCGTATTTAATTTCTTTTGCTTCATTCAATAACTAAAAAGGACTACATTAGTTCCAGTCATGGATTCTTCATAATCATCAGCCATCGCTGATATATTTAAGGAAGTTTTTGAGAAGAAAATCTTCGATACATTCCATCTAAAACCCTTTCCCAAAAGAAAAATTTATTTAAATTTACATTATCACATTTCTTAAAGAGGTGTTATAATAACGTACTATTCCGAAGATAATGTTTGGCGTACTTTGAGATTCGGAGACAAAAATATTTATATTTTCTTGAATTCCTCAGAAACGATTCTCGTAAAATTCTTTAAAACTTTCCTAATTTACTCGACTCTTTAACTCCTAAGTAGACAATATTGTTCTAAAAAAAACAAAAAAGTAAATAATGGTCAAATTTTTAATAGCAAATATAACAAAGTAAAAACAAATATTATTTTTTAAAACGTTCAAAAAATTATAAATAAAAATGCGATCTTTGACGAAACAGCTAGCGAACCTTAACAGTAACAAATTTTTTAAGCTTTTTGGTGAAAAATTGTTAAACGACAATGTGATTTCTGTAGTACTCGATGCCCAATTTGGAAAACGATGTTTTGGTTAGTTTTTAGTTTTTTGATCAAAGAAACGCCGTATATTCGTATATTAGTATACCGAGTGTTTCAAATTCGACTCTCATCATTAGGACCTCGGTAACGGTGAGAAATACGGGGTGACTTAAATAAGGGCAAAGCTGCGCATCGTTTTGTTCAATAATGTTCCGCTTTGGAATTGAAATTCATTTTGTTACTTGTTAAAAAATCGGCAAATAAATTCTCATTGCAACTTTTTAGACTTCACCATATTGCTAGGTCAAAAATCCCTTACGACGTTTTATTTTTCTCAAACCATTATCAACTTTATTTTTTCTCTCGCCTCATTGGATTTTTGCAGTGTTGAATAGCCCTTATTATTACCTTTTTATTGATGTATCACAAGTTGTGTTCCCTCGAATTCGAAGTATTGAACAAAAACTTTTACACCATAGTAAGCCATGAAAAAAATCTCGCCGAGTTTGCTTCGTTTGAAAAATATGGAGATAGGACGGATGAGGAAACTAAAGAAAATTTAGTTAATGAGGTAAGATTGATATGAAATTATTTTATTGCTTTCAATAAAAATTGGTATTTTGCAGATAAATATGAACCTGAGAAAATCCATATGCCAAGTTTACTCTGATGTGTGCTTCTTCTCATACGAGTGCCATAATATACAATAATGCACTTGTTGCATAACATACTATTTTCTACGACCGTTAGTTTTTGGGTCCATTTTCGCAAAATAATACGAATACATTCACTGACATGACCGTCAGAAACATCCGATTGCCGCGCGGTAAAATCCCGGAAATGTCCGAAGTGGTTCGGATTCATGGGAAACGAAACTGACGTAGTAAAGTGACGCTTCCCACACGCTAGATCGGTGGGTAATTAGGTATTTTACAGACGGGAGTAGAAAAGTATAGTATGCAAGATGTGCGGTAAACTTTTAAGTGACTCGTTTATTAAACACTCACTCCGTTCGTCTCAAATAAACTCGTGAGTCAAATGCCGTTTAGCGCACTTGTTGTATAATATATTAATATGGGAGGGAATTTTTAACAGAAGGAATAATCATTTTTGGTCATCAGAAAATCCAATATTTGTATGCGAAAAGCGAATTCAACATACATTTAGTTTAAAAGACAATAGAAAATAATACAGATTTTTGTATTAACAACGAGAATTTGAACCACGAAAAATATCTGGATATTTTAAGAACAGTTACAGATTTTTTAGACAATTTGGCATGAGTGTTACATCGCGGATGTTGGTATCAACTTGATGGAGCTCCGGCTCATCGCACAAATAGAGTAAGTCACGAACTTACAATAATGTTTGAAACACCGTTTGATGCCTATCTTTGAGGCACTACTAAAGAAAGATTGTTTAAAACTCCAGTTGGCACAATAGAAGATTTGGAACGCCGTGGCAGACAATCTCTTCAACAACTTGATCCAAACGAAATTGAAAGGCCTTTTACTTGATGAAAATCCATTTATCAAAATAAATAAGAACTAAAAGTTCAAATTTTCACGAAATTATATATTTTTACATGATTGTTTCGACAACACGTGTCTTTATTAAATGTAATATTTACAAACTACCTGCTATTATATATACCGAAAAATGACCATCAAACCTTAATTAATGTTGTGAGAATTTAAGATCATTAAGCAATATATTTGAATGTCGCAATTTGTTAATCTCCATGGCTTCCAATAAATTTAATTTTCAACTTTTTGTGGCTGTATGGAAAATATCAAAATTGTCGTCAAAAATGTGTTTTTTTTTGTGTTTAAGTGTGTAGCATAATTAGAATCTAGACTATTGTTTTTAAACGCTCTTTATTTACGTTTCTTGAAGGATCTACCTGTTTGTCCAATATAAATTTTAGGACAAGATCCGCATTTCAACCTATACACACCCAATTTTTGAGATTTGGGACATTTCGTTTTATTGTTTTTTATAAATTTTCCTATTGTGTTGTTAGTTCTGAAAGCTATTTTTAAACAACATTTCAACAAATGTTGTGAAACTTTTTCACTAGGTTCTCCTATGTATGTAATTGTTTTAAATTGTTCGTGTTCTGTATTAGGTTTCGGATAAACAGAGTTTACTGTTGTCTGGATTTGTTTTTTTATTTCTAATTTTATCTATAATGGACGGGTTGTAGCCGCTGTTCAGTGCAATTTATTTAATGATATTGAGTTTTTTGTTGTAATTTTCTGATGAGAGTGGCGTATTAAGAAGTCTGTGTATAAAAGAGTGAAATGCAGTCATATTGTGTGTGTAAGGGTATCGTATCGTAATCGTATAAAATTCACTATCGAGATTGAACAGGATAACTTTATTAATTGTTTAGACTTAAATATTACGAAAGCGCAAAACAAATTAGATTTTACAATTTATCATAAACCTTCACACACGGACACAGTCATAAATATTACATTTGATAAAGACACGGTGTTGTCGAAACAATGGTCATGTAACAATATATAATTTCGTGAAAAGCTGAACTTTTAGTTCTTATTTATTTTAAACAGTTTCCAACGTTATGAAGTCAATCCATAGACATCTTAGAGTAAATGGAGGTAATTCCAAGAATAATATCTAGTTGTATGTAATTAGAAGCAATTTAAATCCTTTTATTAGTTTTTAACATTTGTTTTGTATATAACGGTTTTTATGAATATTACATTTTTGTTGGCAAATGTATTTTCTTCCAATTTCACTGTAACAATTACTTTTATTACATTATTACATTTGAACACGCTAATAATGGAATATTAAGCTTATTTATGTCAAAGACAAATTTGTTTACAAAAACTTCGTCGTGGCCGACCAAAGTCTACTTACCCAAATGATAAATGTGATAACTTTAATTCGTATTAATTGCAATATTTTGATTTTTTTGCTTATAACTCAAAAATAAATATACCATAGTTTAGTGCTAGGTACAAAGGAGGCTCTGTTCAGCATTCAAGTTCTAACTCAAAGATGTCGCGATATGAACTGCGGTGTATTTATGTGCTTTATTGACTTCAAGAAAGCGTTTAACATAGTGGAATATGAGAAAATGATTCGAATACTAAAAACAACAAGAATTCATGACAAGGACTTGAGAATCATTGCCGACCTCTATTGACATCAAAAGACAAATGTGAAAATAGGAAATAATATGATTGAAAGCATCTTAATTAAAAGAGGCGTAAGACAAGTTTGCATTCTATCACCATTGCTTTTCGATTTATACTCGGAGAGATTATTCCAAGAAGCTTTGGAATATATCGAAGAAGGAATAAAAATAAATGGGGTAATAGTAAGCAACTTAAGATATGCGGATGATTCCGTTCTACTGGCAGATAATATTAAAGGACTTCAAAAATTCCTAGCTCAAGCAGTGTGTTCGTTACGGTCGTAAACTTAATATCAAAAAGACCAAATGCAGAATTGAGCAAGCATGAGCAAGGTTCATACGTATAAGGAAAGGGGTGTGTGGACACAAACTTAAAACTGAGCTCAGAATGAGAATGCTCCGATGTTACGTGTTCTCAATCCTGCCGTATGCAGTAGAATCTTGGACTCTCACAGAGACTACGTTAAAAACGCTGGAAACTTTTGAAATCTATTGGCGCATGTTGAGGATAAGTTGGATAGATCGGGTCACTAACACAGAAGTCATGAACCAAATGAAGAAAAATACTCTCATACATACTAAATCCAGCATTTTATCATTGAGGGCAAGATTGAGGGAAGATGAGTCTCGGAAGAGGAAGAACATCATGGCTGATGTACCTACGACAGTGATTTGGAATATCAACTAATATGCTGTTTAGGACAGCGGTAAATAAAGTATTGATAGCCAACCTCATTGCTAACATTCTGTAAAAAACGGATGTGGCACATCAAGAAGAAGAAGTTTAGTACTTTTAGATGGCAAATTTGAGGGGCAATATAAAATATTGGGTGTATTATTTAAAATGTCCATGTAGCATGGTTTTTGATATCCGGCCAAATGGACGATAAGTTGATGACGATGAAGCAATTTATTAGG